TTTTGGGGTATTGGGGAAGTGTGTGTGTGTGTGGGTGTGGGTGTGTTACTACAGCAACATGAGATTAGCAGCTACGAATGTGTCAGCCAATGTTCAGTTTACAGAAGCTGCTATTGTACCATCAAGATTAGTGTTAGAAATATTTTAAACTATTGAGTCACCGGCTCTTCCCCCTGCTAGACGCTCACCACCTTTCAGTCAGATAAGTGTTGCAAACCAGTAACCAGGGCTGGGCGTACGTAGGTGTTAGTGACTGACAGGAAATGAGCTACGGTTTCCACTAGACTCTGGTGTTCAGACGGCCTTGCCAGGAAACACTCACCGCAGCCGGAAGTGAAAATCAGTCGCCTATAGAAACTTGCTGGCTAACCTCTGTCACGTGGCTTCACAGGAGGCCTCTGCCCTCAGTTAGTGAGAATGCATGAAGTCTTAATCGCAAGCAACGTTATACTTTAACCTCTGCTTCAGTATGCTATGCTACGCTACCCTGTGCCGAAGCTATTAAACCGCCTTAAAACCTAGTCATTCCTCTCACCCCTTTTTGTCTTGTCCCTTCCCTGTATTCTTACCATTTTGTCATCATGTTTTTTCGGCATTCATCTATGTTGATATTGAGTGTGTCTTGCAGAAACCAAGCCTCTTTTACCTTATTTATTTCAAAATGTGTTGTTAGTAAATGAAAATGGAAACATGCTATTTTGTGAGAAATCATTATTTTGCTAATACTGTTTCTGCAAGATCTGCTATTTGTCTCTATAGTCTAGAATCTAGAGATATTTCAATGTTTGCAGAGATTATATGAGATACACAGAGCCATTTTAGAAATGGCTATACATAATAATGAACAAATCATCCAGCCTGAGGTTGGTGTGTGTGTGTGTGTGTGTGTGTGTGTGTGTGTGTGTGTGTGTGTGTGTGCGTGTGCGTGCATGCATGTGCATGCGTGCATTGCAGTCCAAGGTGCGGGACCTGGAGGAGAAATGTCGCAGTCAGAGTGAGCAGTTTGGCCTGCTGTCCCATGAGCTGGACCAGTTCCGTCTGCAGACGTCCAAGGTGGACCTGGCCAGCACTAGCCTTCTTTCCAGCCCCAACCTCTCCGTTCTGACGAATGGGGTGGGCCTGCCTACAGACCGAGGTAACAGAAAAGAAACCACACTCAGGCAAAACACATGCTGTAAGTGTTAATGAGCCTGAATAACACCTAAACCACAGGTTGGTCTCAGAATGTTTCCAATTGTGGTCAAATGCTATATGTATGTTATTGACAGGGTTTTTTATTGGTACATTTTGACATTTTGTAGACATTTACTGTGAAATTATGCTATTTTCAGTTTTATGCTTTTATGCTTGAACCAACAACATAATTGTGTTTTAAATACATGTGTGCTGAGTCAATTCCTATTTTTCTATCTTCCTGCCTCACCACACCAATCAACATTTTAATCTGTGTTTCACAATTTAAACAATAAGAAGGCTGTTTGAGAAGGCTTTTTTTTTTCATTAATATTTTTATTAGGAAGTCAAAAAGAGTCACGTTGCTAAACAAAAAGCAAATGTAACAAATCAAGTCAAGTAACAACTGATGATCTCGGACCATTATTTCTTTTAAACATTAGATTGTACTTCCGTAGATTTTTTACTATTTTTAAACAACAAATACTCAATAAAAATAATAAGTAAAATAAGACATTTGAAAAAAGGTACAGAAAATAAACCTTTATATAAAAAAATATATATATATATATATATATATATATATATATATATATATATATATATATATATATATATATATATATAATATAAAACTATTGTACCAAATCTGGTTTAACATATAAAAGTAAAAGAGATAATAGATAAATAAATAAAAATAAGTAAATAAAAATCAAAATATATATATATAAAAATGAAAAATGAGAAGGCTTTTTGTCGAGCTCTCTATTGGATTCGCCCTTCTGACTTAGTTTCCACTTTCATCAGAGTGCTTCTTCGTAACAACGTCCAAAAGCTCCTTGAGTAATGTAATCCAGCGCCAGCCCGCCCTCCACCAAGCCTCGCTCACTGATATGTGTGGGGTGCCGGTCGAGTCTTCTCTTCTCAAGCTCGGTGGTGGTGGTGGTGTGTACTCTGTGTTCTAGACTGCATTGGCACCTGTGATCTGGTGCTACTTGGTGACATAGCCTTCTGGAGCCTAGAGGGAGGGGAGACTCTGCCCTCCGATGCGGGGGAGAGGGGGGACCTGCTTGGTATATACCTTCTCTCCTTCACCGCTTCCCCTGTGTTCACTTACACTGGTCAGACCACTACAGGTTCTACCTGACCTCAGCAAGGTCACCGCACAGCATGCTGCCTGCCTGCCGTTTCCATAGCTACCGTCAACATTACAGGCCCCAATTGATCATTTCTGGTCTGTTGCTCGGATCTGCTCAGACCTTTGGCCCGGATAGTTCGCACTGTGATCACATGACCAAAGATCGGAAATGTTGTACCTAGGGCTGCAACGATTAGTCGATGAATCAATGAGTCGATCGACAGAAAATAATTCAAATCACATTTTTATAAAATCGATTAATAGTCGATGCTTCAGAAATTCAAATGTTTGGTTCATGGATCATTATAAAATGAATATTTTATTTATACTAGCTTTCTTGGCTACCTGTCAGATAAAGCAAGCAAATTTTAAAAAATACTTTCGACTGGTAATTTGTGATGGCATTTGCTAATATTTTCTAGACTAAATGATTAATCTAAAAAAATATCGTTAGATTAATCGACTATGAAAATAATCGTTAGTTACAACCCTAGTTGTACTAGATCTGGAACAACATTTAAAAATGGGCCCGAATCTGATTTAAAAAGGTGTGCTGTTCACACGGCTCTGGAAATAAAACAGATCTGTGTCTTTGGTCCACTTTGGGCCTGTAATGTGGGCGTGGTGGTTTAGTGTGTAACATGAAGGTCAGCACCTCAAGGTGAGGAAAGCAGGTTTGTGTGTCGCCTGTAGGCTGCAGAGCAGGAGGGCTTAAGCCCCTTAGTTGCTCCCTGCGCTGCCGTGACCTCTGCACCTAGGGACAGATGGATTTTACTTCACACTTTTAATCAGCCAGGTTTCAACCTTTCAGCCGCCGCATGTCACGCTCTGAGCGCCTTCCTCCCCCCACCCCCACCCCACCCCCCCCTCCTCTTCATCCTGCAGCTCGTTGACTCCTGCATGTTAGCAGAGGCATGAAGACAGCAGGAAATACTTTACGTACTGGGGTTGAATTCGCCTGTTTGTCCAATTCATATACTTTTATTGTTCAATCTTGATTTCGCTGAATGTCAATGCATCATGGAATTCTTTTTTTGTTTTGTTTTTCTCTCCTCCTCCTGTCTCCCTTACCTCCTCCTCTCCCTCCTCCTCTCCCTCCTCTGCCATATACTGCTCCTCCTCCTAGATGTGGCCACTGCCCTGCGCATGGGGGCCACGCCCCATGCCACAGGGCTGGCCAGGGTGGAGCGCTCCCCCGTCACCAAGCACCGCGAGCTGCCCACCATCAGCGTCAGTAAGTCAGGCTCCACCTCCAGCAAGTCCCCCGAGACTGCCCACCTCAGCCCCAGGTCCGACACCCACCTCAGTCCCCACAAGTCCAGCTCAGCACACGAGGTATGCGATGTGGGGCTGAACAAATGAATAGCAATGTAATGTGTTTACACATTACAACTTACCTCTCATACATACGCTACCAAATGTATTTAGATTTTAAATTATTTTAGATGTATTCACATTTGATCCCTATCTTGTATGTCACTTTTACTCTCTGAAGCAAAAGGACACTTAATAGATGGATTAGATTTCCTCCCTCTTTCATTTGCCTTGCTGATAGAAAGAAAAGCAGTACCGTTGTTGTCACATTGCCTCTGGGACTTCTCCACTCTCCGCATAGGAAGGGCAGATTGCTCATCAAGATTAACAATGTGGACCCACATGATCACAGCGCCTCTATGGATTTGCTGGATTATCTTACAACTAAACTATAAATTGTATATGAATTGTCCTCTACCCCCATAGCATAAGAGCGGCAGAGTGAGTTCCTGTCAGGTACACAGTACACTGTGGTTGGACTCTTACCTCAGACAGAACTGATGTTTGGTCTGATGCAGCATGCAGGTTGCTGGCCTTTCAACTTACACTGTCTGCCCGCCCATTCTTTAAATCTCATATTTAGTGAGATAATCCATTCCCTGCTGTGGATTATCAAGGTTATAGTAGTTGTAAGTGATTATACTTAAAAGGTTTTTCCCAGTGAGCTAAAAAAAAAAAAATATATATAGTATTATTGTGTTGTGTAGAATTACTATATTTGGAAATCAAGTGCACTTCACAGTTTGCGTGACAGGAGGACGATGATAGTTTTCAAATGTGTGGCTAAAGTGAGCTCATACTAATGACTAACAATACGACAACACTTTACTGTCTAGCATGTAAACGACTTGGGTATTTAAATGTATATGACATTTTACTGAACCAAGATGTTGTACATTAAAGAATGTATTTTGTGAAACCCTGCCTTGAAGAATATGAAAATGAACAATTAACGATATAGTCATTTGCCATCAAACTCAATAACGTGGTTTTTGTAAGTAAAATTCCACTTAATTTAGGAAGAAGCTAGGGCTGGGCGATATGACCAAAATGTTCTCTCCCGATATAGGTCATTTAATATCTCGATAACGATATATATCATGATATAGCATGTTTTCTGGTAATTAAATAATTAAATACTTTATATAAAATAACCACATGGTAAAGCCTATTTTTGTATACTCCTGCGTTCATCACTTTACTGTAATGCAGTCAATCTAAGGCGATATCTAGTCTCATATCACGATATCGACATAATAGCGATATATTGCCCAGCCCTAGAGGAAACCTGCCTTTAGGATGGACACTAGGCGGTTATAATGTATAGTGGATGCTTTTATCCAAAAAATCTTACAATACCGGGTAGGGCATACGTTCTTAGTATAGGTGGGAATCAAACCCCTAACCTGATGGCAGTGTTAATGCCACGCTCTACCAGTTGAGCTACACTGGACCGTGTCCTCCTAGCTCGGGTGGTTGAGCATATTCCTTGGGTGTCCCCAGGTGGACACAGCCAGTGAAGTGGAGGAGTTGGACGTCGACATCGCCCCCGCCCCTTACACCGCCAGTAGAGGAGCCGCCAAGCTTCAGGTTTTCATTGCCAGATACAGGTGAGAGCTTCAGGCTTTTACATGACGATGTAAAACCTGATGATTTAAGATAAGATCATCACCACCCCTACTAGTAAGGTTAGTAGTCTTTTCTGTAGTGCATAATACTTAGTAGTGCATAATACTTAGTGGTCATATTTTCTGTTGATTTGTATATGCTACATTGGACTTTTGATTTTGCTGTAATTATTATATTATGTGCCGTATTTTATTAAAATTATATATATCTGCATTTTATTGTATTTACATATTACTATCATTAGTGCTGTGAAGCACCTTGTCATGCGCTCCGTATGAAGTGTGCTATATAAATAAAGTTTGACTTGACTTGACTAATGTCTCTGGTGATCCCTCCCCCCCCTTCTTCCCCACAGCTATAACCCATACGATGGCCCCAATGACAACCCAGAAGTGGAGCTGCCCCTCACGGCAGGGGAGTACATCTATGTGTACGGAGACATGGATGATGATGGCTTCTATGAAGGTACACCACTCCTTCCAAAAGCCCGTCCTGGCTTGAGTGTGGCTGTTTTGTCTTGTTGCACTGTGGTAAGGGCTCTCTCTGCTCTCAGGTGAGCTAATGGACGGGCGAAGGGGGCTGGTCCCCTCCAACTTCGTGGAGCGTGTCTCGGACGACGACGTCATGAGTGCGCAGCACCCGGAGACCACAGACGCCATGTCCCACAACTCCCTGCTGGACGCCAGCCTCCATAGTGCCAGCCACCAGCACCTTCTCCACCAGCACCTCCACACGGGCCCCCGCGCCTCCGAGAGGGTCGGGACCACACCGTCCGGTCCCCCCCCATCCACGGCCCCCGTGGAGTCACCCACCCCCGTCCCCACCCCGACCCCGGCTCCCCTCACCAATGGCCTGGACCTGGACCTGGAAGAGGTGGGGGTGGGCATCGTGCCTTACCCACGCAGGCTCACCCTCATCAAGCAGCTGGCCAAGAGCATCATCATCGGCTGGGACCCCCCGCTGGTGGCGGCGGGCTGGGGCAACGTGTGGAGCTACAACGTCTACGTGGACCAGGAGCTGCGGCTCAACGTGCCCTTCGGCGCCCAGACCAAGGCGGTGCTGGAGCGGCTGGACGTGCACCTCAAGGCATACCGCGTGTCGGTGCAGAGCCTGACGGAGCGCGGCCCCTCGGACCAGCTGGCCTGCAGCATGCTGGTGGGGCGGGACGTGTGCGTGGCCCCCACCCAGCTGCGCGTGGACCGGGTCACGGCCACAGCCGCCCACCTGTCCTGGTTGCCCAGCAACAGTAACTATGTGCACATTGTGTCCTTGAACGAGGAAGAGTGTGAGCTGGTGAAGGCTGGCTGCTATTCGCTGTGCCTCAGTAACCTCACGCCCAGCCTGCATTACGCCGTGAAGGTGGAGGCGCGACCCCACCGCACGCCCTGGGAGCTGCCTCTCGAGAGACGCCAACACAGAAGTGCAACTACCACCTTCTCCACACTCATGGCTGGTCAGTGCATAGAGACTTGGTAACACAGTAGAGTGGAGTAGAGGCTAGTAGAGTGAAGTAGAGTAGTGGAATAGAGTAGTCTAGTGGAGTAGAGTCTAGTGGTGGAGTGCAGAAGAGTGTTTTGTAGTATAGTACAGACTTAGTGATGTAGTATGTTTATAGTAGGGTGTGGTATACTACAATATAGTTTAGTATAGTACAGAACCTATAGCATAGCATATCATTTTATAGTATCGTATAGTACAGCATAGTATATTGTCGTATAGTTTGGTTTTAAGTCACCGTAATACACTTGAGAACACCTAATCAATTAGCGTATTAGTCTATTCAGAGGACTGAGTAAGACCCATAGCAGAAACATTTCAACCAGGCTACAGTAAACCAATCAATGTTAACCAGGGACACATTTAGATAGATTTGAAAGATCTAGGTCACTCTTTTCAAACTCCACTCCACAGGAATACATTTTTATTATGGTATTGCTGTGAAATATATATATTCCACAATATAAAGCTTTGTTTGAATCCATTTAGGGTGAATTACCAGCACAGATCATCTATAGAGGCCTCTAGTAATCTTCTAGTCTTATAGAGAATGTGTAAGATTAGTTATTGTCCACAGAGATAATTCTGTGGTGAGCTGCTCAATCTCATACTTAAGATTTCCGAGCATTTTTCCAATATTAATATTATAGAAGCTGTACTTCGTCACCACTAAGAAATGACAATAGCGGGAATACCTTCTCGTTATTCTGATGAGTTTGTGTGGATTCCTTTTAAAATGGTTCACCAAGAGGGGGGGGTTATAAAGTAGGCTGTCTTGTATGCAGCTCGCTATGCCAAAGCTGCTTTGACCGATCACATCAATCCAAGATAGGTGATTGTCCGTGTTGTGGTGTTATTAATGATATACAGGATTAAGTGAATCGTTTGGAAACGCTGGCATGCATGTCTTTATCTGCTGGCACGCCACAGGCTGCGCTAGCATGCCTAATCCTTGCTCTCCCCAGGTCCTCCGGATGCTCCTCTGGACGTGCAGCTGGAGCAAGGCCCCTCCCCAGGGATCGCCCTCATCAGCTGGCTGCCCGTCACCATCGATGCTGCTGGCACCTCCAACGGGCTCCGGGTCACCGGTTACACCATATATGCCGACAAGAAAAAGGCAAGAGTGGAAATGTGTTTTTTACCAAGGCGGATGAAAATATGATGACGCTACTCTTGTGATAGTAATAGTAATCGCATGTATTCTCTATCGATTATAATGAATATGCATTTGTAAAGCTTGGTATGGGATTCTTTGGTTTCGAACACAAATTAATACATAGACATTCATTAGAAGTAATTTTCTTCTTTTCTGACACGTTAGATGAACAGCAAAATGTGTCAAATATTCTAATGTACTACAATATTCAGTAAAAGTGATAGATCTGAATGGATCCCATGTCATGATGTGTCCCCAGGTGCTGGAGGTGTCTTCCCCCACAGCGGGCAGCGCCCTGCTGGGCCCGTCTCAGATCCACAGCCTGCAGCTGGCCCAGGAGCTCACCGTGCGCACCACCTCTGCCCACGGGGAGTCCAGCGACTCCCTCCCTGTCCACGTGCCCGCCAAGCTGGCCGCCATTATGGCAGGGCCGGCCGCCCCTGCCCCGGTTGTGCCAGCACTCCCCGGCGCCGCCCCCCTCCCCCTCCACCAGCCTCCCTCCGTCCCGTATGGGAACTCTGCTGCCAAAGTCTCCGTGCCACCCCGGGACACGCCGCTGCTAGATGCCCACGCCGCTGCCAACGCTGCTGTCACGCACCATCTGCCCCACCACCACCACCACCACCAGCAGCAGCCCCACCACCAGCCCCACCCCCACCCGGAAGCCCTCTTCTCTGCTGCGTCATACGCGGACGCCTGGGCCAGCCCTGGTGCCACCCTGGTCACCAGCGTGACCAGCATCCCGGGGGCCTACACCACCAGCACGCCAACGGTACACCCCATTTCAGCGGCACTGTTCTTACACGTGTTGAAAACATACAACGTTGAATCTTGATTTCGCAATTGAATCTCATACGGCGTTTTGTTTCCACAGATTAACGTGACCTCGCCCACCGCTTTCGTCACACACCCAGTGGCGCTACTCTCAGCACCGTCACCAGCCACCGTAGCACTGGCTCCACTAGCATCACCACCACCAGCACCAGCTGCAGCCGTTATGCAGGACCAGCGCAGAGACACGGACAGCCCCGAGACCATACGCCCCTTCCCCTCCATCTCAGAGTTCCTGGAGGACCCCAGTGCCAAGCTCCGCACCCCCGAGCCCACCCCCATCCCCTCCAAAGCCCCCGTGTCGGACCTGCTGGACCCTCAGGTCACCCACCCCCTCAGGCCCCGCAGCTCCTCCCCGTTGGAGTCGGAGGTGGAGGAGGAGGAGCTGGAGAACACGCGCCTGGTGTCCATGGATGACTTCCTGAGGCAGGAGCAGGAGCCCCAGTACGGAAGGAGACCGCAGGTCAGCTGGGGGGCGGTTAAACGACTCTGCCCTTTAGGGGGAGGAGAGTGGGAGGGCAAGGTTGGATGGTGTGCATGTATGACAGGGGAAGATTTCATTTTAAGGTGCTCGTTATTCAGAGATTACGAGACATTTCAGTTTCACGTTTCTCCTCTGCGTGTTCTGTATAATAATGTGCATGTACTGGACACCTTTTTTTATTGTGACTTTACCTTTTTTATGAGCTTCTATCTACTTTATATGGATAGAAGCTCACTTGATCACACATCGCCCACATCGTTCACACCAATACCGACCTAATACACTGGAAAGGTCTCAATGTCGGGTAGATATGAGGTATATCTATGCTCTGTGTTTCTGTGTTGCCAGGGCGACTACCACGTGGATAACAGCCGCTCAGACCTGTCTGACATCCTGGAGGAGGAGGAGGAGGACTTCTACTCGGACCACCACACTGAAGCACAGCCCCGGGGATACACGGTGGCAGCCGGCAGGGTAAGAGATGACGTTGCCATGGTGACACCACACAACGTCTCTTGGCGACTTTGCTTGTTGTTCCTCTTGTTTTCTCTGACATGAGCGTCTCTTCACTTTGAGTTCTTATTTGTGTGTTTCGTTCGTTTTTTTTCTAAATGTAACGCTTACTTTTCTTTGATTTCTTTTCCTTTGCCTGCATTGCCTGCTGCTTCCCTGTCTTCCCCTTCCGTCTTTCCACTGATCATTATATCCCCCACACACACCTTCACCCCTCGCCCACCACCCTTCGCTTGTCTTGCTTTGACCCCCACCTCCACCCGACCGCCCACCCGTACCTCCGGACGCTGCAGCTGCACAAGTCGGAGCCCCCCGACAGCGATGAGGAGGTCCTGGAGCGCAT